CTTTTCTCCGCAGTTCCAAAAATACTGATGTGGTGATTGATTTCGGTGAAATAAATGCGCAAGTTGGTCTCCTTATGGCTTTGAACAGCAATTGGGAGACCGCTTCGGGGTCGATGCTAGAAGGACAGATATGCGATCAACTTCTACAAATTATGTGCGACCCATGTTCTTTATATTGGTGGCATTGATTTCCAACACAAATGTTCGCATCGCGTCGCCTGGTGCCCCTCGAATTCCTCAGTGATCTCGACCCCCAAATTGCCCATATTACCCTTAGCTAAAGATGGTGCACATCAGTCTAAGACTCTCAGTTACTTTGGAGCGCGTGGCTATATTCCGACCATGCTCTAGTGCACGCACGCCTGGTCTTCACTCTTCCCGCTTCATAGAAGCACCTATCTTCTAAGCCTCTCAATCTGCCGTTTAACAATTTCACGACGAACTGACCAGCCAGTTGTCAGTGGCAAACGAGGTTGGTGAGCCGAACACTCAAGTGTACCATGAATAACGCTTTTGACATCTGCGGTTCGCTCAAATTGAGACGTCCGAACTGTGAGTGGATCTCTGAAGCATCAATTGGATTGATCGAAGCATGGAAACTGGTTCCGATGGGCACTGAGTTTTATCGTGTCCGTAGTTCCCCGAAACGATGTCTGACAAGAAGTCCTTCGAGTCGACCGGGATCATTGGTGGGTGGTGAGGACCCGTGAGATTGAGAATGTCAGTGCTATCGGGAACAGCCGAGCACTGTTCCAGCTCAGCTGCAACACAGGTCCGAGAAAACCATAAGCTAGCGAGATTATAGTTGAGAAAGGCTGTCAGTTAATCCATTCTCAGCCCTGTTGGCTAGTCCGTTGGATAAAACATTTTGTGGAACAGTACAGCTAACATTCTGCGACACTGCCATTTGCCGAATCGCCCGAGCCGATGTGGGAAGTAGATGTCACACCACCCATTTTGGAAGAGATTCAACATGAGTTTTCCGTGTTAAAACGAAACCAAGCTCCTGGTTACGAAAACCTTCCTCCATCTTTTCTTAGGGGTGGTGGTGACTGTTGACTGCACTCACTTCTTTATTTCACACTATTTGGAACACTGAAGAGGTTCCTTCAGACTGGCGAACGCCAACTAGTGTGCCCATCTTCAAAAATGACCAGCACAGTTTCTGTGAAAATCATCGAAGCATTGGCCGTATTTTCATTGCTTCCAAACTTCTCCTGGGTATCATTCTCCGACGAATTAGTGATTCACGTGAGAACCGATTTACTGATAGTCAAGCTTGCTTCCGCGCTAAACGTTGTTGTATCGACCACATATCTACTTAGCGCCAAGTTTTAGAGCATAGATACATACAGACCAGATTATGGTGGTTTTCCTTGACTTAAGAGCCGCCTTCGACTCTGTTAACCGCCCCATCTTGTAACATTGTCTATCCATGAAAGGCGTGCTAACTCAATTCCTTTCCATTATGCTGCCTGTCTACCGTGACTCTCGAGGCCGTGTAAGGGTCTACGGGAAACTGTCACCTGAATACCCCAAAACAAGTGCGGTTCACTAGGGTTGTCCCATATCTCCTTTTCTCTTCAATTTTGTAATCGAAATGATAATTATTAACTCGGTTCTTTTAGACTCCACCGGAGTGGAAGTTTTGCCACTTGACCGACTGTCAAACCTGGAGTATGCGGACGACATTGCTATTATTGGGTCTGATGCATTTGCTCTGCAAACACTACTGCACAGACTTGCGCGTAACGCTGCACCCTTCGCCATGTGCTTTGCCCCTACAAAGTGCAAACGTCTGTTGCAGGACTGGACCGATAAGCCAACGGGTCTAGCTATCACGGAACAGCTACTGGAACTGCTGGACTGGTTCACTTACAATGGTAGCTGCGTCACATCACTGCGTAGCTTCGCATATTAGGAACGCCCATGTCGCATTTCAGAAACAACCAGGGCGTGGCTGTATAGACCATATATTCACTTTACGACAGGTGCTAGAGCAGCGCTACGCATTCCGCAGATCGACAATAGCTGTGTTCCTTGATTACAAGAGTGCGTTCGATTCAGTCGATCGATGCATTCTGTTCGGAATACTTGCGCGGAAAGGTGCTCCCACGAAATATGTGAACATCCTATCTGCTCTATACTCGAACACTACAGGCCGCGTCAGGGTCTACGGTGGCCTATCGGATAGCTTTCCGACCACAAGTGGCGTTCGTTAGGGTTGTCCGATTTCCCCGTTTTTCACTTTACTCGTGGACTCCACCATGGAGTTTTCCCATATGGAATCACTGGATGTAGGCGCTGAGGTGCTTCCTGGTGGAAGATTATTTGCTCTTGATTATGCGGACGATATCGTCTTGCTTTTCGACAATTTTGTGGCGACACAATCAACTGAATAGTCTGTCTAGAGCGGTCCCATTATTCGACATGCGCTTTGCACCTTCAAAGTGCAAAGTTTTGCTGCAGGACCAGCAGCCACTTTATGACCCCTAAACCCTTACTAACGAGGTGGTTGATCATTTCACTTATCTCGGCAGCTGCATCCGCAACAATGGACGCATAGAAACTGACGTCAGCTCGCGCATTGCAAAGGTCAGAGCTGCCTTCTTGAAGCTGCGGCATCTTTGGCGACAGAAGGGAGATTTTCGTCATCTGAAAGGCCGTGTATACAAGGCCACAGTGAGGGCCGTTCTGCTGTATGGTAGTGAAACATGGCCGCTTCAGTCTGAAAATCTGAGGCGTGTTCAAGTCTTTGATCATCGTTTTCGGCGAAGCATTGCTGGTGTCGAATGGCCCCTGCGTGTCCGCATCGATCATTTGCGTAGGCGAGTTCTAGGTGGTGATAATCATGCTGGCTCCCTAGAACAACAGATAGCACTGAATAAGTTGCGTTGGCTTGGGCACGTACAGCGTATGCCTGGTCATCGCCTACCTAGGAGGACATTGTTTAGAGTGTAGGGTGTAGGGTGAACAGAGGTTGACTTAGCAGCGGGAAATGAAGTCACTGACGACCAAACTGGGTGTCGTTGGCCCGTATCGCCTTCCGGGCTGGAGTCCACGTGTCTCGCCTTGTGCTTCGCTCGAGACTTTAACTGGACATGGTTCGCAACCGACACCAGTGGCGCGTCTGCTGCCGTCTCCTAATCGGATTGCCTGTTTAAAGTGTGTTTGGTGCTGAGTTATCTGAGGGGTAATGGCGGATTGTGACGCGGAGCAGTGAAAGTTGCAAGCAACCTGTCTCGCCGCTGTCGCTTTATGTATGCACGACAGCCAGCTGTTTGTGACGGTATGTTGTTAACACTAGGTGTAGGTGTTTTGACCCTGAATATTTGCCTAGGGCATTAAGGTTTTCAGGTAAGTCCCCCTTCGCTTATTCTTCTTATTCTTTATTTCATAGGTCATCATGGTTGTATGGCAGCGGATCATCAGTTCACATGGCCGATGTATTGCTGTTGTTGTTGTTGTTGTTGTTGTTGTTGTTGTATAACGCTGCTGTAAACCGGGTCTTAATGTACGGATCAGGGAACTGGCTGGTTCGTAATGAGGACATTGAATGTTTGGCCAAGTTTGACTACTGGTGCTTGCGGAGTATTGCTCACGTCTGGTGAGAACACCGGATGAGTAATGCTGAGGTCTGCTAGTTGCTTTTTTGCAGATAGTCTTCTGTTCTCCACTCGAGTGTTTATTGAAAATCGCTTACGTTGGCTAGGCAGTCTCCTCCGTATGCCCGTTGACCGGCTTCCTCGGCGTGCGTTATGCGCCATAGCTGCACTAAGTTGGTTGAAAATGCGAGGTGGCCAGTCAGTTATGTGACATAAAGGCGTGAAGAAATTGCCTATGTAACTTAGGCTGATGCTTGTGGCGGTGAATAGACGTTGCAGGATGGTCCACACCAGTGATCGGAGAACTTTACAGACATGGCTCAGTTAGTGTTGTTCCTGCATTCAGTTTCTTGCACCTGGCTGTTTATTCTCACTCCCTGCTAGTTGATTTAAACCCCCTCTTCTTTCCATTTTCTTTACGTTGTATTTGGATTCAATCCCATTTTCTTGCCGTTATTCTTCTGACGATGGGAGTCATGGCAACTGGATCCACCACTCCTTGGTGCTCGGATCTTAGTTGTTCCACTGCATTGAACTAAACCGGACCTCTGGGATGCAATGTTTTCCTCTTTTCTTTTATTTCAACTTCTATTGTTCCTATTATTCCTTATCGATATCAGTGCATTTTAAGGAGTACATGTTCATCCATGAGCTTACCGGGGCTTTTTGATAATCTCACTTTAACGAATATAAACTTATTGTGGCAGAAAAGTCAACACAAGAGTACCGCACGATTTAAATCCGGAACATTTTCTCTGCATATTTTCAAATATGTACTACAGACGTGAATTTATGGCATGAAGTGTGGGCAGTTGAAACTACAAGTCGACCAAACTAAACACACACCTACAGCCATCTTACCATCTGTTCCCGATCGGCTACTATGGCAGAGCAAGAGTCACAAATGCGTTTTTCTGCACACATGGTGTTGGGCTTAGTTCTTTGAATGCCACTGCCTCAGCATATCGTCAAGTTAGGGAGTCCATTGTGGTATACATAACGGTGAATGCTCCTACGGAGTCTATACAAGTGTTGTCAGTCAGCAGGTGACTGTTTGTATGGAACATCATTTCGCTTCATTGGCTGCGCATTCGCAGCCATCTGCATAACGTGTTTACTAACCCACTCTGTGACGATATCCTTAGGCCGACTCATACGCCCATGGGGACTTAGGTTGCTTCGGCAAGGTAGCGAATGGTTTGTGTGGTACTACAGCCTACGGGACATTTTCCTCATTAGACCCATCGTCTTTTAGCTGACTGATGATCTCATTCAACAGTGTGCTGTTTGAAGCTTGTGTTGACACGTATCCTCCTTTTTACACCCTGTTTCCTCGCTCCTGCATGTTTTTCATGAGTTTCTGTGAATTTCTCTCGTGGTCATTTTTCTAAACAGGCCTCTGAACAAGTTCCTGGGAGTGATGAGCAGGTCGAGGAAGCACTGGGTATTTTAAAAGATGACAAAGAGTTTGAAGAATTTGAGAAAGAAGGTTAGTGAAGTTGACTCCTACGAAATTATAAACATATCTCTTTCTGCTAATGATACACTGGATTTTCTAGCTTCAATGTAGTGACAGGTTCTCTCGTAAATGTCCGGTTGTGTAGCATTTTCTCGTCAATATTTCTTAGAGTACAGAATTTCCATCTTATACTTGACATTTTTAAGCAGTCTACTGTTCTTTTGTAAATTCCCCCATCATCTCCAACTGCATTATCGCCTGGAGTTTGGTATGTCAATCACTGTAATCTGCTACAGTCGACGTTTGGTTTTTCAGACTGGCTTCCAAATGAAGAAGATCCAGCAGATTTACACGTATGGGACTTGAAATGGGACACGGATCCCGATAAGGATGATACCTTTGCTGAGTATTTGCGGTAAGCACGAATGCTGTATCCGTAGGTTCTGCTCATGATCCAAAGTGATACTGATTATTCCCTCTTTGCTCTTTTATTCCGGCATCCACTCTCTGATGAGACAATGTTCGCAGCCAGTGCTTTGGTTGCAGAACGCTCGTCTCATACGCTTTGTGACCAGCGCATGCATCACGCTTGCCTGGATCGGTAATTTCACTTGCCAAGTCGTGTTTCGCGAGTATCAACAGGAACAGTCTTTCGCACACCCAAGAACTATACAAGTTATTATCATTATTACTCGCTAAAGCTCATTGTTTTATATCTGGTGATTGTCGCTAATGGTTCATATTTGCTCAACGGAAACATCCGACCACAAGAATCAGTCGGTGGGATCATTGGTCCAACAGTCCTAGTCGGTGTGTATGTCTTGGTGCATTCTATCTGCATTCAAATTCATTTTCCTGCCGTCGTTATTTCTGTTACTTCGGCGACGTGAGTCGTGGCAACTGGATCCACCGTACTTCAGTGCCCGGATCATAGTTGTTTATCTAGACTTACCTGAACAGGCTGGGTCACGTGCTACGAATGTCATTACACCGACTCTTGCGATGTACGTTGTTTGCGTGGCCGGGGTCTGGATGGAAGGGGAAGAGGGGAAGCCGAGCGATGACTTGGTTAATAAGAATGAAACCCTCATTTTGGACTTGGCGTCGGTTGGTGCCTCCCGACTGCCGGGCCGGGGTCCCAAGGACGATGAACACGTTTGGTTGAATACACTTGTAGACATGGCAAAAATCCGACCTCAATGGTGTTCGTGTTGTGAGTGTCTTTGTCCCTCCATTCGCGCTTCGCTCCCTTCACGATCTCATACTCCGTACATAAGATGGTGCTTGGCATTATATTACTTCTTTCGTTCTTATATTCTTTAATGCTTACCATCTTACCTCGGTGTTACGGCTCAATAGCTGAGGTGTTTTCCTCATCCTCAGCTAGCATGTTGATGATCATGATTGTTATTTTTACAACCTGAGTCGTATTAATTGGATCCACTGCACTTCGGTGCCCGGATCAAAGTTGTTCGGCTGAAGTGAACTCGATTGCCTTACCAATCCTCGTTTGATAACAATCAGTCTCGTTTGTTAATTTGAACTAAGCGCAACTGAATCAAAAAGGTCTAGCCATACTACACGTGCGGTGAATCTCCCTTCGCTCACTTTTGTACGTATTTGATGATACTCATTATTACACACTCTCTCAACTTGCACAGCAGCAGCAGCATTCTTGTCTATGTGTGGAGTCAACACGGTAGCTAGGCTGTAGCCCATTCCACACTGAATGCGTGGAACCCTTTTTTGAGCCTAGCACGATCAGGAGGATCGTGCACCCATCTTCCCAGCGACAACTAGTGATCTGCTGTAGCTGGTAATCGAGTTGGTGGGTCTTAGACAGGTAGGCACCTTGTCTACATTCACATCAAATGCAACCACACCGGAGCTATCAGTCATCAGTCAACACTTGAAATGCAAACAACTCAACACGCAGGCACACGTACAAACCAAATGCATCGATGACGTATAAATAAGTAAATGAATACATAAATAACTAAGTAAATGGTATATTTCTCGACGGCGCGAGGCGCTGACCAGACTTTTGGATTTTACAAAGTAGGTCCCCATAGAAGTCTTTGCGGCGTTCAATTATTTACTAGTAATGGAAGTACGGAACGTAGAGCGTAGGAATAACTGTAGGCATAGCCAGCAGTTCAAGTAAAGTAATACAACCATCCGTGGAACCGTCTCCAAGAGGCCTGCTTCCATGCGGCGTAGTCCTTCGAGGGATTTCATCCGCACTTCTACACCTCATCTGACCATGCGTTGTTGTGGCTTAGAGGCAAGTAAATCGTTCTCATGTTGACTCTTTTTATGGCCACTGTTATAAGCAATATACCGCCTAAATATAGACTCGTTTTTTGAGTCCAGCATCTTTTTTTCTCGCCACTGGTTCTGTAGCAGTTCGCATTGTGCAGGTGTATTTAATTAGCTTGGAAGCTTCAATCCATCACCTTAGGAGGTCGGTCCAGTCGGGACCAAACATGGAAAGAAAAAAAATAATGAAGACTACGATGAGTGAATGTTTTATATGCTTTTCTAGAATAAGATGTGATTTTTCGATTGTCTCTTTCCTTTTTTACAAGCAATCGAAGAGGATAGGTAACTAAATAAATGCATAATAAAAGTCTCTTCTCGGCAGTGCTTTCGAAGTATTTAAAAGCAGTCAGCTCCTGAGCGATTCTCAGGTGGTCCCATCTATTAAAGCCAATCGAAAAGAAGGAAACTTGAAATTGAGGTGACTCTCGCGGAATACAGAAAACTGAAGCGTATATCTGACCTATGACCTCCAGCAATGAATATTCCGATTCAGATGGGACTAGAACGACAGGAAATTCCCTTGGGTGTTCCTTCCTGAACGGATTATTGAGCCAGCGAATCATAAGGTGTTCCGAGTTATTGATTGATTTAAAGCAAAACACCTAAACCACACCCTGGTCAACCAATCACTGCTCACCTTTCCTTCAGTAACAGTCCCTGCTGTGCAGGTCACGTGAAGTAAGAAAGATGTAGAAATAAAATGGAAGTGGAAGAGGATGGAAAGTCATTTAACCTAAGGATAATATCAAAGAGAGAGGAGAAACACAGAATAGGAGATCAAAGCTGGCAGATGGATATAGTCAGGGGAAAGGAAAGATTTCGTGTTGCCACCCAAGAGGGTCTAACTGACGCTCAAAACCCTTAGCCGTAGGTTCACTAGCTACATTTTCTGGAAGCGAGTTCTAGCGCTCAATCATTCTACGCGATAACCGAGTTTCCGACCTGATCTGATTGGAACGCGGCCTGTGTTGCTTCATGGGATGACCGCGAAGACAAGTCAACCTAGCCGTGCTAAATAGCCAGCTGAGGTCTGGTCCAGCCTACCCAGTTAACATGCGGTAAGTGGGGAACAGGTCTCCTCGAAGCCATAAGTAATGCATTGAATAACCACCCAAGCTAAGTAGACGCTCGGGGGTATGTTTCCCCCCGTAACCCCTCGACGAATTTGGTACGTACTCGCAAAACTCTCTCTAGCTCTATTTTGTCCCGAACGAGGCAGGGCGGGCAAGCCTGGACGCAATATTCCAGATGGGGCCGAACAGAAACTAAGAACTGCTTCCAAAAGATGTCGGTAGTTAAGACTCCGAAAGAATGGCGTATTAAACACAACATTTGGAAACCCCTACTTGTGGCCTTCTTCCAGTTGTCATCCGAATACAGTGACGAAGAATGGAAGTCGCTTAGGTCTACTTGGTTGGAAACAAAGGAGTTCGATCTCACCCTCGGTGGAAAAGATGCTCCTACACGAATTAGGAACACAGTGTGATTGATGGGCGGTAGCCACAAAGTAGACCAGTCCCAGAGCCTGTCCAGGGCATGCTGAATGGCCTCAGAACCCCCAGGGACGTCTACGATATTCCACAGCTTTAAGTGATCAGCAAATAATAGCGATGATACCCTAAGCTCCTCAGGAAGATAGTTTATATAGATGGATAACAGAATCGGTGCAAGGACCGAGCCATGTGGGACACTGCTAGGGATTGCTTGCCTAATGGATTAGCTTCGACCCACGCGTACACGTTGTTCTCTTTCCTGCAAAAATGCAGATACCCAGGGAAGAGCATGGCCAGTTATACCATAGGATCTCAGCTTTTGTGACAGTCTGAAGTGAGGTACCGTGTCTAATGCTTTCTGGAAGTCGACGAAAAGCACGTCCACCATGTGACCATTGTTCACTGCCTCAGCTTAAGTTTCACAAACAACAAACAAATTCGTCAAACACTACTGAGTAGATTAAACCTATACAGGTGATGTTCCAACGAATCTCACACCAGCTTCTCCAACAGTTTGACTAGTATGCTAGTTAGACTGATCGGCCTATAAGTGGCGGACAGACTCCTGTGTCCATTTTTGGTGATAGGACAGATGACAGCCTCATTCCATTCATGAGGTATTGTACAGCTGTCAAGTGACTTCTGAAACACCGTTGTCAGCGGTCCACTTAGTTCCACCGCCAACTCATGCAGAAACTTCGGCTGAATTGAATCAGGCCCAACTGTTTTAGAAGGGTACAGTTCTTGTACCAGCTTAATTACGTACGTTTCCACTACAGTAAATTCAGTTAAATAAGAACTCTGGGGATAAGTTCAATGCTGCTCAACGCGGTCTCACGTACAAAAGCCCCTGCATACTGCTCACCAAGTACACGAGCCTTGTCCGAGTTCTCATACGCATGAGTTTCCTCGGCCCGCATCAAATTGGAATTGCCGCATTTAAAGCAAAGCGCCTCTTAACATAGGCGAAGAACTTCGGATTTTCCAAAGCTCCATCAGTCAATCTTTTTTCGTACAACAGCTAGGCTTTCCTCAAGTGTTGTTTACATCTATTTCTAGCCTCGCGGTACGTATCATTGACGCTACTTGTGGTAGCGGCTTGGTAAGTCCTCCAGCATCTAGAACGCTTCTGGAGCAGGTACTTGCCAGTGGTATCTATCCACGGGAGCCGTACTCGTGTCCCTGTTTTTCTCGCAAACCAGATATGGGGATCAAGCTCTTCCGTTAGATAAAACTTAACTTTCTACTAGGCTGCCTGAGTTGTATCGGTCACCGAGATTTCACGACGCAAATCTAAAGTCTTGGTACGCATTGCTTAGCAGTTCGTATGCCATATGTTGCTATATGGCTCCGCGATACTCTGATGACATGTGGGCAGAGCACAGCTGTAGGATAAACAGACATGATCACTGGCACCTAAGCGTGAGCTGTATGCGGTGTCACCTACGAAGACTTGGTAAATACAAGGTCAAAAATAGACGGCACTTGGGCGTCCATGTATCTACTGCGAAAGTCCACGAACTGATGCAACAGTACTTGTAGCGTAAGCTAAAGAAGATCTGTCCTGAAACTACCTGATGCCGAGTTGCAAGAAAGACCT